CAAAGAGAATCAGTCAACATACAGTTAATCCTTATTACCCTTATCCTAGGGTTTGTTTTTTTTTTTCTTGTCCTAAGTGCCACTATTACTTTGACAAAATAGGTTTGAAAGGTTTTCAAAACAAGGTCTGTGCTTCTGGAAAAGTGACAAGTCATTCATTTGTTATTTTTTATTAGTATTATTTTAGAGACCAAAAAGACTGGAGTCTGTACTGGAACCACAGCTCCAAAGAAGTGACAGGAGAAGATAAAGGCTGAGGTCACATCCCAGCTAATGTGTGTACAGCCTCATAAAACAACCAAGGGGAGACAGCACAAAGCAGCACATGCTCCTTGTTCCCTTAAAATACCTGATAGTCACTAGTGAAAGCCTTATATGCTGTTGCAAGAGGTCTCATTGTAGAAATCCTTGTAGTGGTATTTACAGGTTGTACTGGTGTGCCGACAGATTTTGTAGGTGGAGTGAAAACTGAAGACACTGAGGATGTAGAGCTTCTTTCCAAATTTTCCATCACACTCTTAAAAAGAGGGTTAATATAATGTAAACAAAGGTTGAAATACTGCTTTTTAACACTTCTTATCTAGAACTGGCTGAAAAAATATGTTCACATCTCAGAGTAAGCAAAGACAACAGGTAAACTGCCTGTCAGTACACAGCACGCAAGGACACACCACCACCAAGCACTTCCCTCACTGCCATCATTTCTGTGTTGGATTAGACCACTGCAAACTGTCAGAAGCCTGTAATCTGTTCACCATATGTACTGTCAGAGAGTATAGAGCACATCAATTTTAAGGCTTCCAACAAACCCCAAGGAATAACTTTTTTCAGAACCAGCTGAATAAGATCCTCTTTCTAAATACTTCTACAATAATTTACCTAATCTGTACAGCCTTCAAGCCTTTACCAATTTGCAGCTTGCCAAGTAATTTCACTCAGTCCCTTTAGCAAATGCGAGGGCTCAAAAGGCTCCGTTTTGCAAACTTAAGTGCAGAAAGGAAGGTGTGTAGAATGGATGAGGCAGCGAGTGACTTGATTGCAACCACAAGTTCCACAAGAACCCACAGCAAACAAGACAGACAGCCCGGAGAGACCCGAATTCCTGCATTAGACTCAGCGCAGCACAGCATTCAACCATCCTAAAGAGCAGAAATTCAGAAGCAGAGCTGGCAGGAGACAGCTATCCAAAATACAGGCTAGGACTGGTGTCCATTGTGGCTGGCAGCTGATTCTGCAGCACGAGGGTAACCCAAGGAACTAACTGCTACTTTTATACCAGAAGCCCGAGCACTGATGTCAAATCCGTCATGCCTCGTTTTCAACGGCAAGAAAGTGTGTTATAGGACAGTGCCAAACCCTCAGTGGATTAGCCTCCAGAAACCTCTCTTGCCTCCAAAAGTCGATGATTATGGGTTGGTTTATTGGTATTCGGAAGTGGACACTATCCACAAAAGACATCGTGAGGATTCAAAAGGATCAGATGCCTGGCAACGAAACGTCTTGGATCGTTGCTTCCAGAGTGTCAGCTTACAGGAGATTCAGTCACTGATACTGATCATCAGAAGAGTAAATAAGGGAAGAACAGGCTGGAAGCCCTACAAGTAGAAGCCCTCAAAGGAAAAGGGCACTGAAGTACATTTGTTTCTGAATTTTAATCAGCGTAAGAAATATTTCTAACTGATATGAAGTAATTGCAAGCTCAATTTCTGGGGCTGCCTATTCAGAAGGGTTTACTTTTGAAACCCTGCATTACTCTTCAGCATCACTTATCCTTAGAAGAGACCAAAAAAAAATCTGTGAACTGTAAAAGAATGACTGTCTTTTGCTTAAGCTGATGTACAGTACCCAAAGCAAAGTACTGCAAGAATTAATGGGAAGAATATTGTCAATGCCTAGAAACTAACAGCTCATGATAAAATTAGACTGAAAGACTGCCATGCCTACCTAGAATCACAGAATGGTTTGGATTGGAAGGGACCTTAAAGATCATCTAGTTCCAACCCCCCTGCCATGATCAGGGACATCTTCCACTAGACCAGGTTGCTCCAAGCCTCATCCAGCCTGGCCTTGAACACTTCAAGGGATGAGGCATCCACAGCTTCTCTGGGCAACCTGTCCCAGTGCCTCACCACCCTCTCTGGGAAGAACTTCCTGATATCTAATCTAAACCTCCCCACTTTCCATTTAAACCCGTTACCCCTTGTCCTGTCACTACAGGCCCTTGTAAAAAGTCCCCCCCAGCTTCCTTGTAGCCTCCCTCAGGTACTGGAAGGCTGCAATAAGGTCTCCCCAGAGCCCTCTCTTCTCCAGGCTGAACAAGCCCAATTCTCTCAGCCTGTCCCCATAGCAGAGGGGCTCCAGCATTCTGAGCATCTTTGTGGCCTCCTCTGGACTCACTCCAACTGGTCTAACAAAGCTGAACACAGTACTCCAGGTGGGGTCTCACCTCAACTGCTACTTACAAGAAAGGGAATGTTTTTGTGGGAGCAGATGGGAGAGTAGGATCGGGACTGTCCAAATAACACATTTTCAGTCTGAGTACTAAGATGAACTGAAAAGCCAGAATCAGATAGTCACCTAAAAAAAAGGACAATTAGGAGCAATAACAATTTTGATTTGCCATCACATACCTACTGCAGTCCCTGAAGGCAACAAATGCCAGCCTGGGAAACTCTTATCTCCATTGCTTGTTACAGTTTCTCTTCCTATCTTGTTCAGCAATATAATTCTCTGCACTGTAACTTCCAAGAAGCACAGAGA